CTATTTTATGTGATAATGAGAATTGTTTATTAATTAAGGGTTTAATTGCATATTAATTATTGATATGATTTTGGAGCATAATCCAACTCAAGAATAAAAAATTGTGGGTTTTACTCTTGAATGCACACAAGAATTTAGGGTTTGAAACCATGAGAGAGATGAAAAGAGATTGAGGTTTCAAAAGACAATTAAACCAAAAAAAAGTTAAATAAAATAATTTGGATTTTAGAATATAAATAAAAATATATTTTGGTTTTGGTATAAATAAATATTCAAATTTTGGTTCTTGTTTATAATTTTATATGATCTTTTTGAATTAAGAAATCACCAAAGTAAATCTTCTTTATTCGGGTATTTCATAAAACAATTTAAATGTTTATCGTTATGTATATCCATGCCACGGTTGATTAGTCCAAAGAAAGATTAATATTTGATTAGATTGCATAAACATCTACAATGATAAACACGTGATCATTATAAGGTTTTGTTTGTCAATAATAAATCAATCCAAAGATAGGTTTGTTGTTAGACATGTTTTATTATCAGTGTTTGATCATTACACTAAGATACTCCTAGCAATTAATATTATTGTCCAAAGACTTGATATTGATGGTGCATTAGGTGTCTTGATATGAGTCAAACCATTATTTGAATTTATTTATTATTATTTTTATGATGTGAGCTTATTTATATTTCTTATGTTACAATAATTGCTTCAATATCTACTAATCTAAATCCAATTTCGGTCCTCAATGAAAAAAAATTAAAGACTAGAAAGAGACTGTGGAAATTATTCTTGGTTGCATGGATCTTGACCTTGCATTAAGGATTGAAAAACCTCTTCTTCTTAGAGACTCTAGTACCTCTAAAGAGAGGAAATATTAATTGCATGAGTTGGATGATTATTAAGCACGATATTTCAAAGGTCTTTAGAGGTGCTATATATGAAGAAATACCAAGTGCTAAAGAAAAAATAAGTGTACTTCTTCATAGCTTGATTTCCATGAAGTATCATGACAAAGGAAATGTTAGAGAATACATCATGAGAATGTTAAACATTGCTTTAAAACTTAATGCACTAAAGCTTGAGATGTTGGAAAACTTACTCAAACACTTAATTTTGATCTCTCTTCCTTCGTAGTTTAGACAATTCAAGTTATCTTATAATCGTCAAAAGGAGAAATAGTCTCTTAATAAGCTCATTTCATATTATGTATAAGGATAGGAGATGCTAAAGCAAGAAAAGACTAAAAGTGCTCATTTTGCGAGTACCTCTGAAGACAAAGGTAAGAGGAAGAAAATCGTGAATCCCAAGAATGAAGTTTCTATCGGTTCACTATAAAAGAAACAAAAATAGGATGATAAATGTTTTTGTAATAAGGTTAGACATGTCAAGAAGAACTGGACAAAATATCACGCTTGGCGTGCAAAGAAAGATATATTTATTACTTTGATTTAACCTGAGGTCAATTTAGCTTCAGTACCAAGCAACACTTAGTGGTTAGATTCAAGTGCCACTCATCAGTGTTTCAATTCAAGGTTGTCTAAGCTACTAAAAGCCAATTGATTATGAAAGATAGATATATGTTAGAGATGGTAAATTAATGAATGAAAAGGTTATAGGGCATTTTATATTATTATTATGTATTGGTTTTTATTTGGATTTGAAAGATACTTTCGTTCATTTAGGCTTAGTTTTGTTCCAATTTCTTATTTGGACAAATTAGGATATTTTTGTTCATATGGAAACAACGAACTTAGATTATCTTTAAATTCAAATACTGTTGGAACTAGTTTACTTTTGGCTCATGATAATCTATATATGCTTGATACGATGACTTCTTATAATGAATCCTTAAATACAAAATTGCATGGTATTAAGCATATAATTGACGATACTAATTCATGTGCATTGTGGCATAGACGTCTAGGTCACATATTTAAAAATAAAGTTGATCGACTTTGATGTATGCCCAAGTATGAACGTGTTTTGATGTGGTATAAATAATTAGGATATTAGAAATATATTTAAGCAATCCAAGAATGGGTAATTGGAAAGTAGCAAAAAGAGTGATGAGGTATTTACAAAGAACAAAGGGTTATATGCTCACATACAAAAGGTTGGACCAACTGAAGATTATTGGGTATTCTTACTCAGATTTTGCAAGAGCCAAGATAATTTGAGATCCACTTCAGGTTAATTTTTCATGTTAGCTGGTTGTGCAATTTATTGGCAGAGTGCAAAGCAAACCCTTATGGCTTCATCCATTATAGTTGCAGAATTTCTGGCATGTTATGAGGCATCAAATCAAGGAAGATGATTAAGGAATTTTGTCATAGGGATCTACATTGTGAAAGGAATTGAAAGACCACTTAAGCTTAATTGTTACAATAAATATGTTGTATTCTATTCTAACAAAATAAGAACTAGAGCAAGTCAAAACACATTGACATCAAGTTTCTGGTTGTTAAAGAAAGGATACAGAGTATAATTTTTTTACATAAAACACCTGTGGACAAACTTCATCATAGCAAATCCTCTAAGGAAGTTCCACCTAAGGTCTTTCATGAACATGTTGCTCATATGGATGTTTTATAGTTTGATGAATCTTTGGTTTAGTGGGAATTTGTTACTTTTAGGTGTGTTCTTTTTATGTTCTATGTGTGATTTTATGTATGCATACATTATCTTTTGGACATATTTTGGTTTTATATATATGATTTTTGTTATTAAGATATTATACTTTGTATATTAAGATTCTTATATTGATCTCATTAAAATAAAGCAACGACTAGTTGAAAATAGACATGTATAGGTTACCTTTACGAAATTTTCATGCTACACATTTCATGATAAGTCCATGTTATTTAATTTTGTTAGCATTAGTGATCACTGACAAGTTTAGTTGCGATTAATGTAATGAAAATTGTTTTGGTTATATGTATTGATGTAATTAGTAGTCTTTAAAATTAATAATTTTAGTTAATTTTTAATTGATTTTTTTATTTTTTATTTTAGAAAAATTAACAAAATTTAAGAGAAAATAGGTCTCTACATACTTGAAATATTCACTAAATTTTATTTATACAAATTGGGTTTACTAAATAAATCATCATTGTTATAAGTAAAAATTAAACAATTATAATATAAAATTATATTTACTTTACTGTGTAAAAAGAAAAAGTCTTCGCAAGATATTTTTCAATTATTTTAATTAATGTCTACTTTATTTCTGCCTACCAAAATTTAATTATTTATCATTAATATTCCAATTTACATCATATTATTTATTTTTATATTCTACACAATTTGAAGGCATTCTTTCAAAAGTACATTATTTTGTCTTCAATCTCAATTCTTTAAAAGTAATTATTTAAAAAGCTCAAAAGTCAATTATTATTTTTTAATCATTTTTATGAATTTCAAGTTACACTTTAACCTTTTCTCCCAAAATCAATGTTTCTTTAAATCCCTTCCACTTTTCAGATTTTATAATTTAATTTTTACATACATTTAAAAAGTCTCTTTAACTAAACAAAATACTATACTATATACTCGATAGAGTATACCCAATAACTAATTTACCCATTTAATTAATATCCAAATTGGTTTAGTTGTCACAATAGTAGTTTTCAATGAATTTGTCACTCTCTTTCATCCTTTTTGGCACAAAATCAATTGCAGTGACTAGACAATAGAGGAAGGTGCTTGTAAATTGATATTTTGATTTCCTTAGTCAAATTTTTTATTCATTTGGCAATACATAACAATGGTGGGGACTCCATTTTTTCTCCTCTTTGTGGTCCTTTCAACTCAATTTCACATTTTCCCTCATTCAACCATCTTAATAATCCCTTTCAATGTTGGCAAGGGTCAGAGTCAAACTTCACAAGTCCTACTATTTTGTCATCTTTCACACCAATTTTTCACCTTTTTTTTTAATTCATCTTTTATTAAACCGTGTCTTTTGTTTTATACCAAGCTCTTTTAGATATTCCAACTTTTATATATTCGATAAATTAAAAAGAACAAATAAAAACAAAATGCACAGAACAATAATTTATTTTCAAGATTCTCAACCTCACATTTAGTATAATACTTCACAAAAAGATAACCCTACAAAAATTATATCCTTCAAACTACTTTTGTTATGCAAAAAATTATACCGTACCATGTTATGTTGATATATATATTTATTACTAGTTTACCTAAATTATATGTTATTCATAGTTACTATCATAAAAAAAATATTATGATATTTTAGTAAACAATAGAGTATGCTACATCAATTACTAACTTAGCTAATGTATAATATGTACGTATATATTCATTAACATATCAACTTATGTGATACACGACAAACTAATATAATCCTCAACACATTTTTCTTCACTTTTAGTTATAGTTTTACTTTTCTTATTAGTATTCCTAATGTTTTTCCCTTTGTCTCCTTATTCCTCTTATATCTTAGATTTTGTTTATATGTTTATAAGATTAATTTTTAATCTTTTTTTATATCAAAATAGTATTATCTCTGTTCCAATAAATTCTTTGACTAATTCATAAGGATGAAAAAAAAATCTTTACTTTAATTAATAACATTAATTTTTGTAACTATTCATATTATTGTTTAAAAAAATTTGTCAGCCGAGACAATTAAAAATCACATGAAATTATTCTCTAATTGAATGAATTTTAGTCCAATGAACTAAAGAAAACCCCTAACAATCACATATATATGTTTTGACTTTTTTGTATTCCAAATTAATTGACACTTTAGAAATTAAAAATTGTAATGCAATAATATTTTAGATTAAAATTAAATATTCTATATAAGATTTAATATACATTGTCCTTAAAATCTATAAAGATGAGAAAAAAAATATTGATTTATAAGATTTAACGGTGAATGACTATAAAAACAATTGTAAGATATTTTGATTAAAAAAATTAATTAAAAAAAGAATTTATATTAAAAAAGACAAACATTTAAAAGGAAAAGAAAAAGGATCTATATATAGTGACATAATATTGTTAAGATTCTTCTCCCCCAAACAACCGAACCAAGCTCCTTAGAAACCCAATTAACTCCCTTTCATACTGCAACCACACACTTTCAAATCACCCAAAACCTAACACCAAACGAATAAACAAAAAAACAAACTGAAAAAAACCTTAAAAACAAAAACACAAACTCAAACCATACTTTCTCATCAAATGTTCTTCTCTTCCCTCTCTTCCTGCTTCCTCTCTTCCAAACCCACCACCCTCCACGACGCCACGCTCTCCACCATCCTCACCACCTTCATCTACCAAACCCAAAACGGCTCCATTTCGCTCACATGGTCACGCTCCATGTTGGGTCGCTCCCTTCACGTCCACCTCCACAACCACTCCTCCTTCCACCTCCACCTCAAACCCTGGAACAAAACCGGTTCCAAGAAACTCTCCCACAACACCCTCTTCCTCTGGAACCTAACCAAAGCCAGGTTCGCCTCTGGACCCGAACCTCTCTCCCGATTCTACCTCGCCCTCCTTGTTGACCAAACCAACCTCACCCTCCTCGTCGGAGACCTCACCCCAAAAACCAAACCCCACAAACCTAACATCAAGACGCAACAAGTTCTCCTTCTCAAACGGGACCACGTCCACGCGGCGTCACACCGCAGCAGGGTGTACCAGACCAAGACCATACTCGGAGGTAAGGTTAGGGAAATCCAAATAGACTGCGACGGTTGCAGTAGCGATGAGGAGAGTCTGAGGTTGGTTTTCTGTGTGGATGAGGAGAAGGTCCTGGAAGTGACGCGGTTGAAGTGGAAGTTCAGAGGGAGCGAGCGTGTGGAGGTGGATGGTGCCCACGTGCAGATCTCGTGGGACGTGCATGATTGGCTTTTCGAAAAGGATAAGGATCACGGTTATAGTAATTACAGCAGTGATGTGAGTGGCAACAGTGATGGTGGTAATGGTAAAAACGAGGGACATGCGGTTTTCATGTTTAAGTTTGAGAATGACGAGGTAGGAGGCGGGAGTGGGAAGGAGGTGGATGTTGGGTGGTCGAGTGGGGAGTGGAAGAATGGAAAGAGTTGGTCGTCTTCTTCGCTGTCGGTTTCTTCTTCTGCTGGGTCTTTTGGAGGGAGTTCCTCTGTCATGGAATGGTCGAGCGTGGAGGAGAACGAATTGGTCGTTCCTTTTGGTTTCTCTTTGGTGGTTTATGCTTGGAGAAAGTAATGGGTTTGATGTTTTTTTCCTTCCTGAGAAAAGGTTCGGGAAAAAAATATAGAAATTTGATCTTATGAGAGTGTATAGAAGAATATATATGTTGTTTAAATTGGTCATTAAATTTTGAGTTTTTATTATTATTATTATTTGAACTGGTATGAACTATACAAATCTCTCTGCATTAGTGGAAAACTGAGATAAAAAATAAAAAGAGTCTGTATGCATGGAAGAGCATCTGTTGAGAGAGATCGGAGATAAGCTCTTTAGTCAAGAGTTTGATCCTCTAGTTTGGAAAGGTAAATCCGTTGGTAGAGATCAACTCTTTATTTGAGAGTTTGAAGAAAAATCAGTTTTTTTTACCTCAATAAATTTCAGTACCCGATGAAGATTACTAGTCTGTGATTTTCAGTGGAAAGATGGAAGGTACTCTGAATGTCCAAAGAAGCTCTTGAAGCTATAATGGAAGATGGAAAAAAGGTTGCTGACATGCTAGCGAAACGTTATCGATTGAAATTTATTGCGGTTGCTATTTGACATATTTAACCAAAGATTAGAGTTGTTTGGATGAAGGTTTGACACTTTCATTTTTTGAATGTGTTTGAAGTTTGAGTACTAATGACTAACTAGTTAGAAGTTAGAATTTAGGATGTGGGGTTGTCTTTGCACACTAACACATTTGTTTGGTGGATATATAACAAGGGAATGGGAATCTATTGGTGGGTTTGTGTACGTGGTGTAGATCTAACATATTTGTTTAGAGGAAGGACTTGTTATGTTATTTTTATGTGGGTGGGTATATGTGTTTGTGATGGAAGCTTTTACTCGTGATGTGCACGCCAAATGTTCGACCAAATGACGGCATGTGAGCTAGGAAATTTTCTTTCTTTGTTGGTGCGTTTGCATTTGGCAGCTCAACAGCGTGTTGCCTAAAGCGACTGGTACAAGCGGCCAATTTGGTTGACCCATTCCAACCAATAATCAATTATATGCAATCCAATGGTTCATATTTGGTTGACGGCACAGAAATTGTGTACTTTTCCTCAAGGGTTAGTATATATCTTTTTTTTTCTTCCTCTAAAGAGTAAAGCTTATGCTTTATATTGTTTTACCCTTTAAAATTTTAAGGCTATTTAAGTTCGTTGTAAAAAAGTAAAAAAAGAATTACAAGATTTTACAAATAAGTAGAATATATAGATTCGTGCAAAATTAGATGTTTGATATTTTTAATTGTGTTGTTTTAATATTGTTTTCTACAATTTTTTGGTTGTATTTTGGTTGGATTAAAAAAAGGATAATTTAATACAAGAAAATAGAAGGAGAAAAAAATGAACGATCCTGAGAATAATTTTTGTCTAAAATATTAGTTAACTTTTAAAAACCGAATTGTATACATGCTAAAGTATTAAAAGAAAATATTGTTATGTGTGAAAAGTAATTAAAAGAATAGAAATATGAACCTGTTTATACAATAAAGAGTATAAGAAACATACATAAAAACATGCTTAGACTAATGAGGAAAATAAGTGAATAGTATTTCTCATTATTGAATTGAAAGGTCAGTTAGATCGTTTCACCATATAGTTCACGTTTCAATAGACTAATGTTATGTTTCTTTTCAACTACGAAAACAGACGGATTTGCAATGAAAGTTGAAAATTCAATCACATAAAAAGAGACAAGTTTTCTTTTTTTAAAAAACAAAACTTTCTTCGCACTTATGCAAAGATTTGCGGAGAAACAAGGTAAACGTAATAAAAGATTTACATTATATTTTTATAATAAAATAATATAACATAATAAAAAATGATAAAATAAATTATTGTTATTATTATTAAAATAATAGTAATAAATAATAATTATAATTACCCAATTTCATCCATTAAAATACTTTTTTTAATTTATTAAACTCTATCACATCACTTACTAGTTTTTGTAGATTTTTATTTTAAATTTCTTTATTTTTCACATTTTTTTCCTAAGTCTCTGCTTGTATTTTAAGATGAATTTCGGAGAATAAGTTTGAGGAGAAATAAAATTGAAAGTGTAATTGTTTAGATATTGTCAGATCCATTAAAATTCACTAAAAAACTCATTTTAGTGCATTACATATGTCAAGGTAGGGGATCCGAAAATCAGATAGTAAAAGACAGGTGTGTGATGCAGATTGGACGCTCGGTTTTGACGGTAGAAGCAAAACTCAAAGTTTTCAAAAATGCACGCCACTTCTGCATGCACCATTCTTTCTCAAAGTTTTGAATTTTCATTTTCTCCTTCTTCTCTCTAAAATCTCCTACTTCTCTCTAAGAAATCTTAATCTTTTCTTCTTCTGATCACCACTCAGACACCGTCTGAACACTCCCGGCGTCGAGGGCGTTCGTTTGAACCGATCAGTTTCGGATTCTGGACTGGTAAGTTCACCTCTCTCAGCCAAGTGGTTTTTCTCTGTACATGCAAACTCAGTTTCCAGTTACATGAGTTCCTTAACCCATTTTTGAACGCCTTTCTAGTCTTTCATGTGGTTAGTTTCGTAAATCGTGATCGTAGTCTTCTAAGAAATTGGTGGTGAGCCATTCTGTTCAAATTGTGAACGTCCAGTCACGCTTAAAGGTAAGGGAAACTTATATAATTTAATTTAGCTTGTTGTGTTGAATGTTTGTATGCTTGCATGATACGTTTGATTATTGATGAGTATGAAATATGATTGTACTGTTGGTTTGAATGTGTGGATGGACGTATGTTATACGCTGTGAACTGAGTTGGAATAGAGTTTAATCTTCGAACCATAGTATTCTGAGCAAAGGTGATAGTATGGTCGAGCGTCATTAGCGAACGCTCGGTCTTTCTTGGGAATGCATGGTCTTACTTGAATTATCATGCGTTAGGGATATTGTTTAAGAGTCTTTCTGTAATATTATATAAGAATAGGTAAACTATGATCGAGAATTTGTATTCATCGTTCAGTTTTCGTTGAGCGTCTGTTCATGGTAAGTTCTTCTTCTAGAAAGGATTCTGTTAATGAAGAGCGTGTTATAATAGTAGATATGTATATGTGAGTGTTCAGCCTAATTGTAGTTCTTCTTTAGACTTCCTGTACAGTTTAGGTAACGTGTCATATACTACCCAGGGTTGTAGACGTTATTGTCCTTTTCATTCAGAATAAGTGGTGACTCAATTGTATAGATTTATATAGTCATTCGTTTCATTTGAGTTTATAAGCGATCGATTTTGGACCAAGCGTTCAGTCTCGGTAGCGCTCGTTCCTGATAAGCATTTGGTCTTGGACCAGCACTCGTTCAATAGTGTTCGGTTTTTACAGGGCTCGGTCTTAAACCAAGCGCTGGGTCTTGTTTTCTGTAATATAGTATTACTATACTTAGAATCAGAGTCTTTATTCAAACTAGATAGCGTTCGTTAATTCATAGTTTCTCATCAGTATTATTATTTAGTATAAATCATGTTGGTCTTTAAAAGGTGTTCGACCTAGATTCTTAGTACTCGGCCTAGGCTTTGTGGCGTCCGGTTTGAACTCTTAGGAGTCTGTTTATTGAAGTAGTTGAGTAGCGCTCAGTCCTGTTAGTTTCTAAGAAGTGTTATTCTAGTCGTACTTGGGCTATGATAAAAGCATATGATCTCTTTTCATTTGAATGTATGGATGATTAAGTATGAGAAGAATTGAGATGTGATGTGTATGGAATAGTTAATTATGAACGAGTATTCCATGGAAGAATATCTTAGAAAGTGGTTATTGATTGGTAAAGTATGAATGTGGGCAAAGCTTAGCGGGCGTTCATCCTGATATTCCATGATTACTCGTTCTCATGTAGAGAGGAGTAAGTCACGTGTGGGAATGACAGGAGGTCCTAGTCCATAAGGTTAACTTGGACGGAACGGATCAATCTCGGGTGGCAGCTGTTGAGGGTATCCTAGTTATTACATCACCTGGATGCACAAATGTCGTAGCTACACAGGATTCATACAGTCCGGACAGTCAGAGCCATGTGGTCGTTATTTGCATGCATGGATATATGAATTATGATGTGGTCGTTGTTGGTTTTGTTATGAATGTTGTATGTTGTGATTGAATAAATTAAATTACCTAAGCTTACCCTGTTTATCATTTTTGGTTGTGTTGTACGTCCTGTCGTTGTCCTGTTGCAATGATCATTCGTGTGGATGTGAGCAAAAGGAGAAAAGTTGCTTGAAGAAGTATTGGAAGACGCAACAGAAGTGAAGGCCGAACCTTAAGGGCGTTTCGGTCTGGTGTTGACTTTATTTTTGTAAAGACCGTACGACATTAGTGTATTTTGTTAAACGTTCGGTTTAGTAGTGACTAGCGTTAGTTTTCAATTTCCCTGCTGTTATGTAAGGTCGTTCGACCGTAATTGTATTTAACCGAGTGTTAAACTGATATGTAGTATGGTTAACATGTGATTATTCTCTATATGATTTTACACTGTATTTTTGAGATGTTACATATATATAATATAATATCTATATATATATATATAATATATATATATAATATATCTATCTATCTCTCTAATTAACATATATTGAAAAAATATTATTACTTAAAAGATAATTAAGTATTATATCTTAAAGATGTTATATAATAAACTATTATATCATAATATTTTGGAAATATTAAATAATAAATTATTATTATAATATCTTAGATATATAAGAAAATATAATAATAAATTATTATATTATAAGATATTAACTATAAATGGTTTAAAAATATTTCATAATATCTGGAAATTATGTCATAATATTTTTTAGATTGTGTACAACCTTAATAATATAGAAAATTAGCAAAAATAACTCTAATTAAATTTATAACTTACCTTCTTCAGAAAAAAAAAATAGACCTACCTTTTGGGATAGACATCTTTGAAACGAAATAATTTAATATATAATTTCAAAAGATAGTACCATATTTAGTTTATATAATTTTATGAAGGAAAATATGTGTGTTTTAATTCTGAAAAAGTTTAGTGACCCCCTCCCCAAAAATGGAAGTTTAGGTGAGAAAAAGATGAAAATGATAATTTTGAAAAACATGAAGAGATGGGAACAAAAAGACAGTGCTTGGTAGGAAACAAGGAAAAAAA